TTCAAATTTCACATATTTCAAGAATGTATTGCACGGACCACTCCTTCTAGAAGCTCCCTCAGAAAGGGTCAAAATTTGGAATAACCATTAAGCACATAAAACGCGAAACGAGCATCCGATTACTTTCAAACTCGGCACAACCCAATATTTCTATCAACACAAGATGTGTTGTGAAGATGGCCAATATCGGACTACTCCTTCTGGTACCTCCGCCACAACGGGTCAAAATTTTAAATAATTATAACTCTCATAAAACGCGAACTTTTCGAAACATTATGAAATATCTAATTTAAAGTGAAGAAAGCAGTCGATATAAAATCCAAATCTGATACGTATTAATTTGTTAATCAAACTTATGTCAGATACAAAATGGTAAATATTGGTCCACTCCTTCGGAACCTCTCCTATGAAGGGTTAACAGTTTGAAGAAACCTAATGCAAGTCAAAATATATTTAAATAAAATATATTTAAATATTTTCTGGATTTTCTTCAGACACCGCACAACCAATTAAGAAGTTCAATTCTACACTAAATACTCTCCACTTTTTTGCAAATTTCCACTTAGATTTTGTTTTAATATTTTCAAAGACCAACCGATTTGGAAAGTACTTTTTGTAAGTACCAAAAATTATAACAATCCAATTCGAATACTTTCAAAAGGTTTTCTAATAAACCACAATTAATTCAATGCCATCCTTTAATATTTTTATAAGGACCTACAATTTTTTTATGATGTTTAAAAACCTGGCAATCAGCCTATATAGAGTTATGGATATGTTTCAAGAATATACAAATTTTAAATAAATTTTCTTTAAAGAAAAAACAAAGACGGTCTTTAATTATTATTTCAAAATGTATTTAATTTGCACTACGCTCTTCATTCTTTTATTTTTATTCTTTATTTTATTTTTATTTATTTATTTACTTTTTATTTTATTTTATTTTTATATTTATTTTATATTTATTTTATATTTATTTTATTTTTATTTATTTTTTTTTTATTTTATTATTATTATTTTTATTATTATTTTTATTTTTATTATTATTATTATTTATTATTATTATTATTATTATTATTATTATTATTATTATTATTATTATTATTATTATTATTATTATTATTATTATTTTATTATATATTCATTTATTATTATTATTTTTAATATTATTTTTTATTTTTATTATTTATTTTCATATTTATTTTATTTATTTTTATTTATTTATTTATTTTTTAAACAAATTTTGATCTCTTAAACATGAAAGACCCCTAATTTATTGCATTCCGAAATGTATTTAAAAATTATTACGAGCATATGTGTACGAAACTAGAAAAGGTGACTAAACAAGTGAACATCAAAAATCATCCTCACCGAGCTCAGCAACACCCAACCGTTTGCCTCCTAGTCAAGTGAATGTCTTCGGGGTTAATTGACCAATAAATTATTTCAAATATTTTTATTGTATGAAAAAAAAAATAAGAAGAAAAAAATAAAACCTACAATGTAGTGGAGAGAAGAGATTGGTGACAATGATGATCGAGAGAAAATTTTCAAATGGAATTCTTTTTAGAAATTCAAAGAGACCTGTTTTGTAATAATTGAAGGAGGAGAGATGCATACGCATAATCAACTGATTTGAATGGAATTGTAAAACAAATCATGGATTTATACTTTTTTTCTTTATAATTATATAACTCAATGAGAAAACATGTGGGATGGGTTCTAGATATAGATGACCTGAGTTCAAGATTGCTAGAATTAAAAAATATTTCTAGAGAACCAAATTTGCCAACATTTAGGCGCAATATAAAGTATGCTTCTAGGCGTAGAGAAATGTTTGTGAGAATTTCTCAATTGATTGAGAATTTACTCTTAAGTGACCAAGGAACGGTGTAGCCTTAAATATAGGCTACGATTCAGGAAAACTTTAATGTTTAGAGCCTATATTTAGGAGTTTTGCAAATACCAAGCATACTTTTTGGCGCTATATAGACTATGTTTATTTCATATTTTAATTTTTTTTTTTAATTTTTGCCAATAAAAAAGAAAGCGCAAGAAGAAATATTCGACAAAAAATTCTACTTGAAGTTTCAGAATAAACTACATATGGAGGTTGCAAAAAAAAATTCGGAAAATTTTTCAAGAGATTTTCCTCGGACTTTTTTTTTTTGGATTTTTGCATGAAAGTAGCATAAAATTCCTTTTTAGAAAAAAGTATCAAGGAAAGAAATATTCTACACAAAATTTCACTATAAGTCTCAGAATAACGTATATATCTAGGTTCAATGGTTTTTAAGAAAATTGCATTCCAAATTTATGCATAAAAAGTGAAAATTATGTGTTTGCTTTTTTGGTATTAATTTAATTCGTCTCAAATCAAAGTCCATATCTCCATTTAAACTCCATTTTTTTGGGGAAAGTGTCAATGGAAGAAATATTCTAGATCGAATTCCATTGTATGTGCTCCATAGTAAAATATCATTAATTTTGGGTTTATAAAAATCTCTTCTATTTTCAAGCAATTTTGACACTTTTTCCAAATTTTCTGCAAATTTTTGTAATAATTTCACTGTCCAGTCTGGGTTGTGGAAAGATCCAATGGATCGGTTTGGAGATCCAAACCCTAAAAAAACTTACGGGTTCTTAGGGCAAACTTTTGTAGGGCATTTATATAGCCTTGGCCATATACGAAGGAAATTTTTGACTATTAATTTGACACGTTTCCATTCGAATTAAAAATCTCCCTTAATACTTCATTTTTGGAGGGAAATGTTAATGGAAGAAATATTCTACATCGAATTTCATTGTGAATCCCTGAGTAAAAGAAATTTGTATTTCTAATATCTACCATGTAAAAATCTTTTCTATTTCCCACCAATTTTGACACTTTTTCCGAATTTGCTGTAAATTTTTGTAATAATTTCACTGCCCATTTTTTTCAATTTGCCTGGATTGTGGAAAGATCCAAGTGGAGCTGTAAGTAGTAAGTAGAAGCTGTAAGCTGTAGATCAGAACCACAAAAAAGGTTTTTGTTCTTAGAACAAACTTTTGTAGGACATTTATAAAGCTTTGACCATTCACAAAGGGATTTTTCCCGTATTTTTCCATTCGAAGTTTTAATACTTCATTTTTGGGCAAAAATGTCAATGAAAGAAATATTCTAGATCAAATTTCATTGTGAGTCTCTGAACAAAAGAAATTTGTATTCCTAATATCTACCACAGAAAAAATATCATCAATTTTGGGTTCGAAAAAAAGATATTTTATTTTTGACAAATTTTGGCACTTTTTTTCGAATTTCCTGCAATTTTTTGTAATAACTTCACTGTCAACAGCCTCCCTGGAATTAAAATTATTCGCTCTGTAGATAAAAACCACAAAAAAAAATTGGATCTTAGGACAAACTTTTGTAGGACATTTATATAGCCTTGACCATTCAAAAAGGGTATTATTTTCGAATGTTTCTTTTCGAAGTCAAAATCTCTTTTAGTACTTAATTTTTGGGGAGAAGTGTCAATGGAAGAAATATTTTAGATCAAATTTCATTGTCAGTCTCTGAACAAAAGAAATTTGTATTCCTAATATCTACCACAAAAAAATATCATCAATTTTGGATTAGAAAAAAAGATATTTTATTTTTGACAAATTTTGGCACTTTCTCCGAATCTGCTGTACATTTGGTAATAATTTCAATGGCCAATAGCATCCCTGGGTTATGGAGAGATCCATGTGGATTTAAAAGAACTCGGTTTGTTGATCAAAACCACAAAAAAGTTTTGGTTCTTGGGACAAACTTTTGTAGGGTATTTATATAAAATTGACCGTTTACAAAGGGTATTATTTTCGAATGTTTCCTTTCGAAGTCAAAATCTCTTTTAGTACTTCATTTTCGGGGAAAATTGTCAATGAAAGAAATATTCTAAATCGAATTTCATTGTCAGTCTCTGAACAAAAGAAATTTGTATTCCTAATATCTACCATAGAAAAAATATCATCAGTTTTGGGTTAGAAAAAAAAGATATTTTTGTCAAAATTTGGCACTTTCTCCGAATCTGCTGTAAATTATTGTAATAATTTCACTGGCCAATAGCCTCCCTGGATTTAAAATTATTCGCTTTGTACATCAAAACTACAAAAAAAATTGGATCTTAGGACAAACTTTTGTAGGAAATTTATATAGCCTTGACAATTAACAAAGGGTATTATTTTCGAATGTTTATTTTCGAAGTCAAAATCGCCCTTAATACCGCATTTTTTGTGAAAAGTCTCAAAGGAAGAAATATTCTAGATCGAATTTCATTGTGAGTCCCTGAATAAAATAAATTTGTATTCCTAATATCTACCACAGAAAAAATATCATCAATTTTGGGTTAAAAAAATATGTTTTATTTTTGACAAATTTTGACACTTTTTTTCGAATTTCCTGCAATTTTTTCTAATAACTTCACTGTCCAACAGCCTCCCTGGATTTACAATTATTCGCATTGTAGATCAAAACCACAAAAAAAAATTTTGGATCTTAGGTCAAACTTTTTATAGACCATTCACAAAGGGTATTATTTTCGAATGTTTCCTTTCGAAGTCAAAATCTTCCTTAATACTTCATTTTTAGGGAAAAATGTCAATGGAAGAAATATTCTACATCAAATTTCATTGTGAGTCTCAGAACCGAAGATATTTGTATTCCTAATTTCTACCATAGAAAAATATAATCAATTTTGGGTTAAAAAAATATGTTTTATTTTTGACAAATTTTGGCACTTTTTCCGAATTTAAATTTCACTGTCCAATATTTTGATCTACATATCAAAATATATAAGAATGAGCTTTGAAATTTTTGAGAGAACTTTGATTTTAATTCTATAATCATTGGTTTACAAAATGTGTCATATTGATCCACTTTTGGGCATAGACCCTTTTGGGCGCTAAATAAACGATGTTGCTGGCTATTTTTATTTTTCATCTAAATTTTGATTTATTTATTCTTATGTCCAACTTACAATTTGTTCCTTAAGGTCCTTGGTGCGTGTAAGTGGTCCCAGCCATTGATGTAATCCAATATAGCGTTTTTGTACTAATTTTAATGCCGGTGCTCCTTGAGCATACGGACCGCCCAATAGGGCGCTGGTTGTTTCTAAAACCACCATGATGTGTGTGTGATAGTTGTTTTGGTTTTTTTTATTTACTTTTTTAAGTTTATTTTGGTTTTGTTGTTATTATTGCGAAAAAACAACAAAAATATAATAACAAAGAAAAAACGTGTCACAATTTCAATTTATTGAGGAGACAAAAATTCACAATTGGAAGAAGAGTAAGTTTTTTGTTATGGGATTTTGTCACGATTTGTAATATTTGGTTTTTTATTTTTATTTTCTATTTGCAATGAGTTGTGATAAATATTTTTTTTTTCAAAATTAAATTTACTACTTAATTTTTTTTCTTATATGCTTTCTTTTTGCTTTGAATTTTATTTTTATCCTCTCTTCTTTTTATTTTTAATTCAATATTTGTTGTAATTTTTTTTCTGTAAATTGTTGTTGTTGTTTTTGCTGTGGGTGTTATAATCGGATTTTAATCCAATTTCCATTTGTTTGTATTTCAACTTGGCTGTTATCCTTTTGTGCCAGGATAATATGGATGTGAAAAGATGAGTCTTTTTTTTACGACTTTTTTTGCAATTGTTGTTGTAGTTGTTCCTTTTTGGAATCTCGTTACGTTATATTGTACGGAAATGTGACACGTCGTCGGATACAATGCAAACACTGAAGTGAAAAATCAACACGAGTAGTAGTAGCAGTAGTAGTTTGTCCCGGTGTGTGTATGTGTGTTGGGCTGGCGGGAGTAAAATCTTCTCTTTTTTGGTTTTTTGAAAAATCCTTTGAACTGGCTTTCGAGCACGTTTCTCGTCCAAATAACAAACACAAGGATTTTTTAATTAAATTTTAATATTTTCTTTTGTTTTGTGAGGACACAGACACACACAGAAAAGATAACCGGGCTTTGGCCGAGGGGGAAATTTTTCCTTAATTTTTGTTTTTAAATTTCTTGTTTTTTTAAATTTCACTAATTTTGTGCGTTCTTTGTGCGTTCCAAAATTGGAAAATCTCGTTATAGGTTCACAGTACAAAGTCTCACTTGAAACCGGTTTTCTAGGCAATTTTTTAAAATTTTGCAAAATTAAAGCATACTTTTGGGCGCTTAAAACTCATAAAAGCTAGATTTAAGGTTTGTTTACTTTCTATCTTTTTCAATATTTAAATTTGAAATTAATTTTTATTTCACAAAAATCTAAAGCATACTTTGAGGCGTTATAATGCAAATTAGACTACTTTTAGGCGTAGCTTAAATTATTTTATTTTTTTTTTTTTTTGCAAAAACCAGGATTTTTATGCAACGAAGAAGACTGCCGGGGTGATTTGTATAATTTTTCTTTAATTATTTTCTTTTTTTCAAAAATTTTCTTAAACTTGGTTTAGTTGAATATTTTATTTTTGTTGTTTACATCAAATTTAGGCACAAAATTTTCTTTACTCACAAAAAAATATTTTTTTTCTTTTTTATTTTTTTTTTGAGGGGAAAACAATATTTTCTTTTAACACAAATAAATTCTTCTTTGGATTTGGAAATATTTTATTGCACTTTATTTTGTATGATTTTTTTTTTTTTCAAAACAATAATTTGTATTTTTTTAACATTTTCTTGCTTTTTTCAAAATAATAATAAATATTATTTTCTGATTCACCGTGTTTGTTTGTGTTTAGATTAGCCTAGGTAGCTAGCTATGCGCGAAATTTTGATTATAACGCGAGAATAAAATGTGTGCGGTTTGTTTTCAAAAAAATTGTTGTTGTTGTGGTTGTTGTTTTTTCTTTACTTTCTGGCGGATAATCAAACAAATAATTTTCCCATGAACCGTAATGTTCAAAGTTCCATCGCGAACTGAAGTCACAACGGCCCGACAAAGATAAACGGAAAACGCACACAAACGGCAACAAGAATGAATATACACGACGAGGCGATGCGGGCAAAGGCAGCAACAACGACAGTAAGAGCAACGTTGTAGCCGACGATGATGGTGATGATGATGAAAGGAAAGAAAGAAAAGACAACGACGAACAATAAACGAAGTTAGATAGGAACGAACACACCACGAACAAAAGAAGAACCTTTTTTTCTTTGACAACCACACATCAAATGGCCAACACTCTCAGTCAGCCATCCAGCTAACAACAATTTGCTCTTATTCCCCAAAGAATTGTTAAGAGAGCATGGCAGAGAGAATCTCAAAAACTCTTATACAAAACCATGCAACACATGGCACAACAATGTGGCCAAACAGCATTTGCCCAACAATCAAACAACACCCCAAAAACAAATTGATCCAAAACAGAGAGAGACTCTTCCATCTCTTACATAAAAACAAGAGGTGAAAAACAACAATCTCCCTTAATTTCCACCATCCATGCAGCCAGCAAAGAGTCTTACTGACACACCCTCTCCCAATACTCCAACGGTGCTCAAAACCGTGTTCTAGAACATGAAGAGAAAAAAGAGATAATTTAAGAGAAAATTAAAATTAAAAGCAAATGGATAAAAAAATATTTGTATAAATAATGACTTAACACTGTTTTGTTCTTGATTTAAATAAGCAAAGAGAAAATTGACTGAAAAGAGGTTTTTCTTCTTGAGCACCCCTGCAATACTCACACTCCACAAACAACAATTTGACTAACCAACAACACAACACAGTTATCCGTTAATGGGGGGTAACACACTCTGTATGAAACTGTTATTTCCTACCTTTCTCTCGCTCTCTCTTAAATGTGTTGATTTTCTTTATCTCTTCTCAATGGTATACTCAGTGCTCCCCAACCAAAACAAAACTGTTGCTTGCCTCTGTTATTGTTTGGCCAACACATTGTTATTGCGGGCTAAAAGTGGAGACTTTCTCAATCTCCAAAATACAAGAAAAGATAAAATACTCTTAAAACAGAGCAATGACAAAATATGGTTGCCATCTTGAGGGGAGGAATTAAGCACAAGGAATAATTAAATATAAGTTAAATTAAACTGAGGCATACAGGATTTATAACAAATTTTATAAATTAATTAATTGTAAATAAAACTCTTCACAAATAAAATATAGATTTCTCTCGCGTGTTTTTTTTTCTCTTTGGCATATTCATTTTTTTGAATTCAATTTTTAGGTTTTATCAATTTGTGTTCTTCAATAACTGATTACGATATAATTACAGAAAACACTAGCAAATATTGGAAGTAAAGCTAAATAAGTATATTGACATCGCAAAATAACAGAAATATAGTAGGGCAAGTGCTCCCCTTATCCACATTTTTATACCCTCAGCCATATGGCTAGAGAGGGTTTTAGGTCTATTTGGACCAAATCCGTTTTAGGACATTTGGAATCGATCTAGCGATGTCCGTCCGTCTGACTGTCCCGCTGGTGCGCACGATAACTCTCGAAGGGAGTATCCGATTTTATCCAAAGTTGGTACATTGTAATATTTTTGTCAAACTTAGATCGAGTTCGGAGATGGGCAAAATCGGTCCACTCCTTCTGGTACCTCCCACACAAAATGTCGAAATTTTCAAATAAAATATTTTATTGCACAGAAAGAGAAAGGATGATCCGATTTTGCACCAACTTTGCAAATCCTAATATTTCCATCGGTACTAGATCAGGTGGGAAAATGAACAATATCAGTTCACCCCTTCTGGTAGCTCCCCCACAAAGGATCAAAATATTGAATAATTATGACTATTATAAAATGTGATGTAAGAGTTCGATTGTCTTCAAATTTCACACATCCCAATAATTTTATTAATGCAAGGCCTGGTGTAAAGATGGAATATATCGGTCCACTCCTTCTGGTACCTCCCCCATAAAAGGTCGAAATTTTCAAAAAACTATTTTCCGCACAGAAATAGAAACGATAATCCGATTTTGCTCCAGATATGAAAAGCCTAATATTTGCGTTAGTGCAATATTAGGTGAGAAAATGGATCGGTTCACTCCATCAAGTAACTCCCCCACAAAGGGTCCAAATTTTGAATAATTATAACTCATATAAAATGTGATGCAAGCGTCCGATTGTCTTCAATTTTCACACATCCCAATAATTTTATTAATCCAAGGTCTGGTGTTAAGATGAAATATATCGGTCCACTCCTTCTGGTACCTCCCCCACAAAGGGTCAAATTTTTGAATATCCATGAAGCTCTTAAAGCGCGAAATAAACATCCGATTACATTTAGATTTGGCACATCTGAATATTTCTATGAACACAAGATCTGTTGTAAAGATAGTAGAGATCGGACCATTCCTTCTGGTACCTCCCCCACAAAGGGTCAAAGTTTTCAATAACCAAAACGTTTATAAAATCCGAAATACGCATCCGATTGTCCTTAAATCTCGCACATCCTAATGCTCCTATGCACACAAGATCTAATGTGAAAATGGTACATATCGGTCCACTCTATCGAGTATCTCTCCCACAAAGGGTCAACATTGTGAATAATTAAAGCGATCATAAAATCAGAAATGAGCGTCCGATTTCATTCAGACTTGGAACGTCTTAAGATTTCCATCAACAAAAGATCTGTTATAAAGATTGTAGAGATCGGACCATTTCTTTTGGTACCTCTCCCACATAGGGTTCAAGATTTTGATAAGCAAAACGCCCAACGAAAGCGAAATAACCATCCATCTCTTCTTCAAATTTCAAACATACAAATATTTTTGCTAACACAGGAGCTGTTATGACGATTATATATATCTGCGAACACCTTCTGGTACCACACCCACAAAGGGTCACAATTTTCAATTCATTTATCTGCGATTCGTTACAACTTGCTATATCTAAATATTTCTCCCAACCAGAAATCTGAGATGAATACGGAATTTATGATTTCTCATAAAATTGGATATAAATGTTTGATTTTCTTCTTCATACCAATATTTTTATCTGTATTAGGTGAAGGTCGACTATATAGGGTACGTCCCGTACATTTTTACATTTTCTAAAAATTATCAAATATCCCAGTGAAAGTGAAGGAAGTAACCAATATAGTCCAAACCTGGCACGTCGCAATATTTATATCATATTTATTTAGGTCCGATACGAAATTGACAATATTGGCCTATTTCTTCGGAACCCACTCCATAGAGGGTCAACAATTCAAATAATCATTACAGAAGTCAAAATATATTTAAACTATCGAACATTGGCCGGAGGTAAACATCTGTCGACAATACCCACTGATACTTTTTAACTTGTTTTTGGCTATACTTTCATAATCTACCGAGTTTTTCCTATAATTATTGTTTTTAATTTTTTTAATTATTTCTATGTTTTATTTTTTCTTTAGTCAAATTCAATTTTTTTTTCTTAATTTTTTTAATTATTTTAAGATTTTAATAAAGTTTTTTTTTTTTTATCATAGACGACGCTAGCATTGCTGTCACTTTTTCTCTGTCATTAGTAAAACATCAATAAACAGACTTATACGAATAATGTTCAACAATTGTTTCAATCAAATAATTTTTGAACTTATTTTGCTTATATATTTGTTTAAAAATTCTTAAATAAATAAAAATTCAACAATGGAATGTTATTTCACAATTCTCTTAAGAAGATCTCTTTTATTATTTTCCCCATATATGTTTTTATTAATTATTTTTTACCTCGGCAACTCTGTTAACTGTTAACATGGTTAATTATCTCTCCACTACTCTTTCAGTTAACCACAAACAGCTGTTTATACTCTTCATGTATTTATTACACATGCTCAGTGCAAACAAATCAAGAGCAGTTATTCACCACTCTTTCACTCTCTGATTGAGAGCCCTAATATCAATAAAATATCTCTTAATATCAATAAAAGGAAAATTCTCATTAGGAGTATTGCTGCGGCAAGTAATGCACGAACACCACCACAACAAAGGCTCTCCTTTTTGATGGCTCGCTCTCTGTGTGTTTTCCCTTATCTGCATGTGGATGGATGTTTGGGCAAGTTTTTCCGAGTTTTCCACACTTTTCAGTTAACAGGTTGCTTGCATTCATTTTTTGTATCTTTTCTGTGTTGTAGTTGTTGCTTGTTTTGTGTGTGGATATTTAATGTTTTTTTTTTTTTTTTTTTTTTTTTTTGGTATTGATACAATTTTTTTTTTTTTTTTGGAAAACATGGCTAAGCTATGGATAGGTGCTGCCTTGTTTTTTTTTTGTTGCTTGTTGGAATATTTTTTCCTCGGACAATTTGTGTGAGCTGGCTAAACGCTTGAGTGGCAACGTTCGGTATTGCTGTTTTAAAGGTTTAATGTTGTTGTTATTGTTGTTGCCAAAGTTATTACACTTCTATCGGGGTCTGCATGATTTGGTTCAGTTTACTGTTTTCAGTTGTTGTTATTGTTTTTTTTCTTTTGAATTTTTTTTTTCACAACAACTTTAATGTAATTATGAAAGAAAATTCAGTGTGAGACATGAAAAGAATAACACAAGGAAGAAGACAGACAGACAGAAAGACATCAGATACTTCGGGGGTAGCCAGCCAAACTTAGCCTCTAAACATATGCCGTGCAGCAGTGTCTTGAGACTTCTTCTGGTTTCGAGCCAAAAATTACATTTAATGAAATTAAAAAAAAAAAAACTGAAGTGAAATGAAATTGATAATTAAATGGAGTTTCTAAGGAAAACGTTGGGTAGGATGGAGAGCCATAAAAAGGAAGGTTTGAATTCATGTACACATTTTCCCAAACCATATGCTTTGGGAATACTTAAGGGGGGAATGACAATATTCTAAACTGAAATAAGTAATTCGTGGAACATGGAGTGAACACACGCACACACAAACGGTGAGTGTAAAGTGAGTCTTAATTTTGTCATTCAAAAAATAAAAATCTCTAATCGCCGAAAAAATCGCTTAAATTGAAAATGCCCCAGTGCTGGGCTTCAGTACCCAGAATTGCCTTAAAAATTAACGGTGCCATGCTTAAGTGTTCCATACGCCATATTTTGACATATTAAGATATACATGATTCCTAAAGCTTTGCAACATGCTCTTCTCGAATTTTTAGTCAGATTTTCGATATCTGCTCTAATATCCGAGCTATAATGAAAGTAGAACGATAAACAATTCGTACGAAATTACATGGAGGATTCAGAAGTTGTATTCCTAGCAGTCAAATATTTTGTGCAGTCTACTAC